ATTCTTCATTCACGGCCATCAACAGCTTCATCACCGCCCGCTCGCATTCTCCACAGGATCGAACTGGAGTAAGCTATCACCGCCAAACATCCAACATGTGCACCTGGGAGCAAACCACCTATGCCTGCGGGCACAAGAGCAAGCTCCGCCGCCAGGCCTACTCGTGCGCCATTTACACTCGGCACATATATGGCGAATGCGTCTACAGCCGCCAATATGACCGCGTGATTCCTGTCATTGACTACAAGGACTGCCCCGACTGCAGCCGGCTCTTTGAATTCGTCAACTTCTGAGCACGCGCACACCGAAACCACTATTTTCATCTAAGCCGCAGCTCTTTCGATCTCTCTGGCAACCGAGCACTTCAACACCACCATAATTGGCCACGCCATCCTTTTCTGCATCTTCTTTCTTCGTCAAAAGTCATGCTCACAAGGACGGAGTCCAGACCATCTGCTGTAAAGGCACTCCTTTCTGATGTTGGCCGTTACGACTAAGACGAACTCACTCAATCACTTGCATCGGATAGACGACAACTCATCACTCGGCGCCAGTCATCCTCTTTTCTTTCTTTTTCTTTTATGAGCTCAAAAGAGCGCTGGGAAACATGGGCACAGGTAATCATGGGCATGGAAAAGGACGCATGGGCGCACGGAGCAAAGGCGGGGCATTGGATTTCTCTCTTTCATTCCATTTTTTAGACGCGGGATTATCATGGGCGGAGACTTTGGGCTTCCGTTTCCTCAGATGCCCAAGGACTTGGGTATCGGGAGGGTGGTGCATTATCAGGGGCGCAAGAGCGGCAACAACATACCTTCTTTTCACGGCTCAATTCGGCGAGATACACGACAATTCGTTTCCAGATACATACTTGAAACTCAACACACGGGCAGCATTGCAGGATAGCGGGGAACAGGATAGACAAGGGCTCACATTTACATGGGGGAGGGACCGAAAGCATTTGGACAGGTGCACAAAGATCTTCTTTTTCTCCTTTTAATTTGTCTTCCCATAGTGATTTCATAGACACTATTTATTTGTATTCTTCGTTCGATAAATTGCAAATACCTTATCGCTTGTGGTGCAATTTCTCACGAATACGCTGCGGGCCAAGGCCCCTAAGCCCACGAATTCTTCCAAATCACCAAAACCCATGTCTCTTTTCCGCAAACGCTCAAACCACCCCGCACGCATGATTATGCATAACAAGAGACTACCCGTGCGCATGCTGTTAGTGTTAAACCACGTCCTTCTCTCATCGGCAAGCATGTCAAAGAAAGGTGTGGTGTCGAGCACACCAAGAAGAAAAAAAGAATCCGTGGATGACGTCGTTGAGGCCAGACCCACTTTCCCCTTTTGACGCACAGTCGAACACGACACAGCCACCGGCGTGCCGCCGCCTGCCGAGAGGGCACTTGCGAAGTTGGGAATTACCTAAGCTCTTCACTCCATCCACCTGCCGCAGCCATCTCGTCTCGGCTTTGCCCAATACCACTCTCTCTCGAACGGATGGGACGACGGCCCTGCGGACGACAGCACTGAACAGACGATAGCACGGTACTGGCGGGAATGCACTGTGGCGAATGCGGATGAGGGGGGGGAGGATGGGTGGGGTGGGCCGCACCCACTGTAATGGAAGCTTCCCCCCCCCTTGCAGGATGCATGGAAGCCGCAGTCAATTGAAGGTTCGTGCCTCGCAAACCGTCAGCGTTCGCTGTTTCAGAGGCGAGCGCCACGTTGTCCCAGCTGAAAGGTGAGCCACCGGGCAATCCGCGCATCATGCACTCCAGTGTTCTGTTGCGGTAACGCGGTTTCACTTCTATTTTTGAGGTCGCAGCCGGGGGGGGGGCGCCGCAGTTGTGCATCTTAAAGCCACCGGGTTTTACGTCCGGACGTTCACTTTGTTGTTCGTTTTGGGGGTTAACACCAATATTTTCTCTTTCCCTTGCCTTTCTTCCTCTCCCCCATCAACCGGCCGCAGCAAGCCGGTGCCGCTCACTCACTTTAGCTTTTTGGCAGGGGAAGGATGCCAGCAGCAGAAGGAGAGACGCGGACAAGCGAATCAACGGGCCGACCTCACCAACAACATCAGGAGCGCTTGTCTGGCGCCGAATCGATCAACCCTGCAGCGCGATCCTTCGCCCTTCTTGGAGGGAATGGATGGGTTTCCGCCCCAAAACCCACTCTCGCAATGGCCCGACGATGGCGAGGGAAAAAAAGCGCCCACTCACCCACGCGTAATGGCTCCGTAACATTACTAACAAACCGCCATGTGGCGCTTGTGGGCATGGGTACTGTACGCATCATCGCGTCTAAAAACTCTGGCCAGCTGCCACTTGCCAGCAATGTCAGCAAATTGGCGCCGTTTTGGGCGTATTTTTCGTGGATTGTTGGATAAGCGCCGTTATCGCCGGCGCCACAAGTCCAGGCCCCGAGGTAGTCAGTCGGCGTTGGTACATATGGATACGTGGGTGAACGGGACAATCTAGCTCCTCCAACTTCCAAGCGACACCAGAAGGGCTAACGCCAGGCTGCAGCCGCAGCATATCACCCCCATATAGGTGGCGGTTTGTTGGTTGCTCATCTCTCTTGAGGGAACTGGTAGTCTGGTTCTAGTAAACACATACGACTGGATGTGACGACCGTTGGGCGTTGGCACTGCGTACCCTGTCACCTCGGCGCTTATTAGGGTACTAGCCGCGCTAATCACGGCTTGTTGGGCCCTGGGAGCCCCGGCGATCTCTGGGTACAGAGCAAATTTACAGGGCATCTCCGCATCAGTGGCGGAGGAGCTACAGGGTGCTTCAGGGACGCCCGCTCCGGGATTGCCGGGTGCCATCACCAACTTCCAGGGTGGTGGTGTTTGTTTGCTTTGCCGTCGACGCCGAGGGCACCAACACACACGAGGACTGCAGGCGGTCTGAAAAGGCTGGCCAAGAAGCGGCGATTGCGCGCAGCCACTTACACCTCGGAATGGAATGGACTGATTCATGCACTTCACAGCCTGGAAGTCATGTGAGCGACCCAGCGCTCTTTCCCGCGGGCCTGCACGTATTCCGTACTCCGGTACGGAGGAGCTGACCGATTGCGCAAGGCGCATACGTACTTTAACCTACCTTACCTTACCTTAAGTATCTGCTTTCAGCAAAAACTCGGTGCGCGCATTGGTGAGACCGCGCAACTTGCCGTGGTCCCGCGGATTTCCGCAAGACCCGATCCCCAGTTATTTCGTTCTTCACGTGAAAGACGGCCTTCAAAGTGGCCAGCAGCCCCGCGCCGCACCCGCCTGGCAGCCCGGAATCAAGTCACTGCGCTCGGATTTCCCTTATTGGACAGGGCACCCCCAACCCGGCCCAAGCAGGAGCAGACCGAGAGAGTTGCCCTTTTCAGCCACACACCGCTGCGGGTGGCCACATTCCCACGCCCTAGCCAGGTTTCACAGCCAGCACCTCACATTAATTATATGGATGGAAGACTGCATTTTCCCAAGTGAGCCCCAAGTTTCGAGACAGACTATTCTGCAATGCCCCCAACTCGTATTTTGTCCCCTTTGTCATCCCAGAGCCAACGACCAATAACCGAATGCGGAGATGGATGGCGGGTGGCTGCAGGGCGTTGGGCTGTTTCGCACTCGCATGCGCTGCTGCAAGCAATTTGAACTGACTTCCACGTTGTAGACCTGGGATTAAGTGCAACTGCCACAACAATTTGCCCGTGGCTGAACCTGTAATCCGGGTGTTTTTTTTTTTTTTTTTTTTTGTGAGCCTGTTGGGCGCGTTGGGGCTGCCATTTCCATTTTCCGGGGGGTTCGCTGATGTTACCTTACCCGGGGCCGCAGAAGTTGATGCTCGCCAGCTCCCGTGTCCCGAATTGGTGGAACTATGTAAGGACTTGTTTCTTCCGTAACACGACAGGACGCACGCCACTAACAGTCAATAACAAGAATCCGTGTCGAAAATTTAACCAGCTGCGAGGATATGGCAAGGCAAGTGTGTTGGCAACAGGGTGTGACGAACCGAACCAACTGCGCAATTTAACACAGAACCGTCAGGAACAGAAGCCAGCAGCACACTTGAGTTGGTAGGGTCGGTTACACTGCACCTCGCCGCCCTCTCTCGACTATAGACCAAATTCACTAGCATAGATTAAACGCCGATCGGCGATCGGGGTCGCCGATATCAACAAGGCGTTTTTGCGATTGAACAAAGCGCATAATCACGTGCCCTGCAAGAATCGAGGCTGGGCTCGGAAAATGACGTTGAGGTATCGGATGGGGACGGAGCGCGGACTTGGTTGTCGGACAGATGCAAAATGTAGCCCTCCAAAGCAGCAAAATTGCCTTACAAGTGTCAACCGGGCGGCTCCCTGCTTTTGCGAGGTGAGCTTGGTGGGAGACGCACCCGGAATCCCCATGGCGTGGACTTCGGACAATGACAGAAAACAGGACGTTCGGACGAGGCGACATCGGCCTGGATGTGCATCTTTAAGTACGAACAAGTTTCAATAAAACAAAACAGGATCAGGCTGATTGCGCACCCAGCGGCAGAGTCGGGCAGACTGCCGGATTTTCCACCGGCGCGGCCCGGTCGCTAAAGGAGATACGGGATGAACTCGGACTACGGACCGAAGTCTTCGGTCTCGGGACATCAGACGGCCAGGTAGACTCGCGACTCGGCTCGGGCTGAGCACCACCGCCCGGCCCGCATCCTTCGGACATGTGAGCAAGTTTCGTGGGCGGTTATTAATTAGATTCCCTCGCCAAACTGTTTCAAGAGGCTGTTTTTAAGCAGCTGGACACCGTCAGCCTAATTCTTGTGAGTGTGCCTCTTGGATATGGACATCTCAATAATGTTTGTTCGGTTTATCTGGCGGAGTGGAGTATGGTGTCTCTTACCTCGGTTACCCCTGAAACCCACATGAAAGGAAATTTCCCAAATGCCGCACACAGGATGGAGCCTTGAGAGGAATTGCCGCACATGTCCTCCATCAAAAACAGAATAGGGCGTGTGGCTCAGTTGGTAGAGCGTTCGCTTAGCATCTTCGCTGGGTGTGTCTCTCAACACCCAGCTTATGTCCTGCGAAAGGTCCTGGGTTCGATTCCCAGCCTGTCCAGATTTGCAATGAAGATTCCAGTTCTGGAGTTCTTCATCTTTTGGTCCATACCTATGATTGGCTTGGCTTTTGGCGGTCATACTCTTTTTCCTCTTTCTTCTATCTTTTTTTCTTGAAGGCCTGGTCGGGATCGAGATTATGCTATAGGGTGGAATGACTCTGGACGGCAGGCCACCTCAAGTCTTCTTTCTAGAACTATTTTACTTGGATCAACAGCTGGAGTCGGTTTACATCTTCAAAAGATATCTATTATCTCTCACCAGGTGTCTTTGCACTCAATGGAGTCTTCTAATCGTTTATGTGGAAAATATTGTGGCACGATTGGTTGCCTTGAACCGTATGGTCTTATTCTCAAATTCACAACCCGAGCTACTAGAAGAATGAAAATACCTATACGACATGTGAATCACATCTTTGATTCACTTTCACAGAGATCGATCAACGCACCCCTAGATCATTTAATTCCGTATTTCATCTTTTGCTATCAAAATCTCTCCGAAGTCTCTTCTTTTGGTCTTATGGCGATTACTGCAGTGACAGACAGCCTCAGATCTTGACGGTAACGGCAAACACACCGGCACCGGCTCCTACGTAGGCGACATTCTTGTCCTTTTCGGTGCGGCCAAAGGCGCACGAGGTGGAGCCGGTGACGCTGCCGACGGAGACGGGCGCGGGCTTGGCGGCCGTGGGGTCGACCTCGACGAGCGAGTTGCGCGAGTTGGTGGCGACGTAGATCTTGCCGTTGGGGCCGAAGCACAGGTCGTCGCCCATGAGGTTGGTCCACAGCGTGGTGAAGGCGCCCTTGGCCTTGGCCGTGACCTCGTCGACGGCGACCTTGTGGAAGCTGTTCTTGAAGATGTTGGTGTACCACACGGTACCGTCCTTGTACTTGATGCCGTCGATACCGAACGGGATGCCGCCCGAGGGCGCCATGGTCGCGTCCGTCAGCACCACCGAGTACTCGCCCGTCACCACGCTGAAGCGGTACACGCTGCCCTTGCCGGCGTCGGCCACCAGCACGGTGCTGTTGTCGAACACGGCCAGCCCGTTGAGGTTGTTGGCCTCGGTGATGGTCTTGATGAGCGACGACTTGGGCGTGCCGCTGGAAAAGTCGACCTTGTAGATGCCCTTGCCACCGATGACGGCAAAGACGTCGGGGGCGTACTCGCCGATGCCGCTGAGCCCCGAAGCCCCCGTCACCGAAATGGCCGTCGACGACGTCTTGGCCACGGGGTCAATGGTGTACAGATTGGCACTGTTCATGTTGGTCGCCAGAACCTGCCCATTGGACCGAACCGCGATGTTCTCGATGGAGCTGAGCCGGACCACTTGTGCTGCCGTCTGCCGCGGCTCAATGGCCGCCGCGCTCGTGAGAGACGCGAAGAGGGGTAGGGCCGCCCCGAGGAGGGCTGGAAGCTGGATCATGGTGGGTGGGCGAGTCTGGGTGAGGGGAAGAAGAGAACGAAGAAAGCAGCGTGGAATGAGAAAGCGAGGACAGGGCAGAGTTGAGAAAATATTATTAGGTAGGTTGCCCAGGCGGCACGGCGAGAAGATATTCCCCCCTCAATCTCTCTGTGCCACTAACACTTCCCCCCAGTCAGTCTGGGCAACTTTAGTTGCAATTGCGCCGACACGGGGGCAGTATATATAGGTCTTGGCGCCTCCATCGCAAACTTTGAAAGATATTGGGCGAGGGTGCAGCCTAAATTCCGCGAAGGACAAGGCGTGCTGGGCTTAGAGCTGTTGCTGGCGGGGAGGCAATCTGGCTAATGCCGGGGCCTGTCGTCTAGAATCGCCCAATTCGGCAACACGGTTGGCCGACTCCATCCGAGGCGTGCTATTTTCCGCTCGGGACCCGGAATCCAGTATTGCGAGCCGATGCCAGTGCAAATTATACTAGACGTCTCGTGAGACTGAAATTGAGTACATTGCCAGCTTCTCAGGTGTTGGACAGCTTCCTCCAACGCCGGGGATATAGCGACAACAAACAGTACAACTGTAACCAGGACGAGTTTCTGCTCGCTGTGCGCCGGTAAACATTATCGACTTTTAGCATTGGTGGGCAATACCAGTTATCTCGATAACCTAGGAACCAAGATTATGTGGCATGAATGTGGCGATGTCAGGCCATACAAATTGGCCATACTGACTCTCAACCTAGAACTAGACCCTCATCGCGCTGCCCTGGGTGCCCACCTGAGAGCCAGTCTTCAGGCCATCAAAGGTCTATATAAACCCAGCCTTTTTCCAGATAGAAGCAAGACAATCAGACAGACATCTTCCAACCACTTCATCTCCCTACAGATTGTCAAGAGATTTACCAAAGTTCGTATCCTACACCTGGCTCGTTTCTTCATGCGCATTGAAAGCGCCCCTAAGGAGGTGCCGAAGATATAGTCGAATACGTAGGATAAAACTCGCCGGAATGGTCTGGTTCCAGTTGGATGGTGCAACTCAGCACGCGACTAATTAGAATGGATATCAGTTGCAGTCCCAGGACTTTGTTTGTGGTGGTGTTTAGATGGCTACCCTTTCACGGCCATGCGCCCCACAAGCAGGGACGATGGGTAAAACACAGGGAAAAGGAAGAATTCGAGCTTGTAGTTCACGAAGGATGGCCCGTATAATGTGGTGATTGACTTGGTAATTGTCGGATCCAGGAGCCTCGAACTGGTGGCAGTATCTCCCCAGCAGCCCATACCGTGTATTACGAGAGGAAATGTAGGATGAGCGGAATCCAGTACGCTGCTGGATAATAATCATTGTCCGCCCTACACTCAGAATATGGCCAGTGTTCAATCTTGGCTACAACCCACTCATCCTAACTTATACAAACTACGGGAGGTCAGTTTGAGTCACGAGTGTGAGGGACGATGGCCTCAGCTCAGTTCAGCTGACTTTGAAGGCGCTAGTTTAGAATTGCACATGTAGCCACGGTGGATAGTTGCGGAATTAAGAAAGCCCAGCGCTTCCGTGTTTGGAGCCGAGACCTGCCGGCTGCGGGGAAGTTTGGGGAGGCCAGCCTGGGGAAAGGCGAGTCTTGTGGTCTGGGGCCCCGCAATTCAGAGGCCAACGACGCCGACGACCGAGTTCCTGGGACTGGCAGTTGAAGATCTTGTGGTCCCATTGCTTGCAACCCCGGCCTCGCCCATCGTCAGCTGCGGCCGCAAGATCCTCCGCCATCTGGGGTAGGGGATATATACTAGCGACATCTTGTTAAACAGTTGGGCCTTGCGAGCCTACGTTGAACATGACATATTTGATCTCAATTCTGCTCAGTGTTGACGTCACTCCGATTTTGACTGCACTTTGCACTTTGCACTTTGACCTTGTGACCCACCCCCTATTGCCTGCCTGATCCGCCCCTTTTAATCGTCACAAACAGGCGCAGATACCACATTTCCGCCCCACACCATGGCTGCCAATGCCAATGCCGAGCAAACGGATGTGCTCATCTGCGGCAGCGGCTCAGCCGGCCTGTGCGCGGCCGTGTGGCTGTCTCGCTTTGGCATCAACTATAAGATCCTCGAGCGGCGCGACGGGCCATTGAAGGTGGGCCAGGCCGACGGCGTGCAGACGCGCACCGTCGAGATCTTTGATAGCTTCGGCATCGCCGAGGCCCTGCTGAAGGAGTCGTACCACGTGCTCGAGATTGCCTTTTGGGCCGCCGTGACCGCGAACAGCACGGGCGCAGACCTCAAGGAGGGCATCCAGAGGTCGCGCTATGCGCCCGACAAGGAGACCGGAATCAGCCGCCAGCCACATGTCATCCTCAACCAGGCCCGCCTGAACGCCCTCATGATCGGCGACCTGGAGAAGGGCGGCGTCCCGGCCCCCATCGAGTACGACTGCGAGGTCAAAAACGTCGAGGTGGACGAGGCGGCAGCAGCGGCAGACCCCGCCGCGTACTGCGTCAGGGTCGACACGGTCAAGGACGGCGTCGAGAAGAGCTTCCGGGCCAAGTACGTGCTGGGGTGCGACGGGGCGCACAGCATCGTGCGCAGGTCGCTCGGGTTCAAGATGCTGGGCGACAGCACCGAGGCCGTGTGGGGCGTCATGGACGTCTACCCGCTGACCGACTTCCCCGACATCCGCAAGAAGGCGGTGCTCAACTCGAGCGCCGGCAACCTGCTGGTCATCCCGCGCGAGGGCGACGCCATGGCGCGCTTCTACATCGAGCTGCCGGCGGGCACGCGCGTGGCCGACGTGACGCTGGCCGACCTGCAGGCGCGCGCTCGCCTCACCTTCGCACCTTACACCATGGACGTGGCCGAGACGGCATGGTGGTCCGCCTACGCTATCGGCCAGCGCCGCGCCGACTTCTTCCACCAGGCCCATCGCGTCTTCCTCACCGGCGACGCCTGCCACACGCACTCGCCCAAGGCAGGCCAGGGCATGAACGTCAGCCTGCAGGACGGCCACAACATTGGCTGGAAGCTGGGCATGATCCTGCGCGGCCTGGCCGCCCCGGCGCCGCTGCTCGAGTCGTACGTGATCGAACGCGAGCGCACCGCCACGGAGCTGATCGAGTTCGACCGCGGCTTCACGCGCCTGTTCAACACGAAGTACCGCCACGACAACGGCATCAGCGCCGAGTTCTTCGCCGAGCAGTTCGTCAAGGCCGGCCGCTACACGGCGGGCCAGGCCATCCACTACGACGACTCGGCCATCACCGACGCAGCGGGCGGCCGGCAGGACCTCGCGCCCAAGGCGCCCGTCGGCATGAGGTTCCCGACCGCGCAGGTCGTGCGCTTCTGCGACGCGAAGGCCATGCAGCTCGTCAACGCGCTGCCAGCCACTGGCGCATGGTACCTCGTCGTTTTTGCTGGGGATGTGTCTCAGGCGGAGAGTGCAGGGCGCTTAAGACAGGTTTGTTTGTCTCCTTTCCAAGCATCTAATTTGCCGACGTGTGATGGCGGCATCTACTTATTGAACTGACACTCTATGGCCACAGGTATCCGAAGCTCTCGAGCAGCAGGTGGTGCATCGGTTCACGCCGC